GGCTCGAAGCATGGGGCAATCACTCGCAGGCGCGGCGGTCCTTGGTCGGTGTCGATCATGCCACCGCGGCCAGCAACTGTGGGCGGCGGTAATTCACTTGCTGTGACTGAAGAACTCCGGATCTGCTCGCCCAGGAAGATGCTGCAACCCGCGCTCATGTTCGTACATGCCGCGGGCTGCCATGGAAAGTGAGCGATGCTGCGGTGTGGCGTGGGCTCTCTCGCGTGCGCAGGGCGAGGATCTCCTCGTGCGAATGCTTGTGGTCGTCGTCGGCAGGCCCCCGTCAGTCCTCCCGCCGCCGCGCTGCGGCGCGCCGGCCTCATCTCCTGGGGCCGCGACGGCCGGGGGCTGCCCGCGTTGTGAGCGAGCGCGGGGGGCGCGCAGAAGAGGCCGCGCGCGCGCCTCATGCGCGCGCGGCCCCGCGGCTCCCGCGGTGGCCCATGGCAAGCGCGAGCGAAGGGGGCTCGGGCTGGCGCGCGGAGCCGCGGCTTTTCTGGAAAGAACCAGCGTGGCTTTGGCGATGGTGATGATGGTGATGATGATGAGGATAATGCTGATCATGATGCTGATTATGATCATGATGCTGCGTCTGCGGCTGATGCTGATGATGCTTGCACGGATGAAGCGAGTGCTGATGCTGATGATGACGTTGCTGTCGCTACTGCTGAGGAGGGGGGGGGGGGGGCAGAGGGGGGGGGGGCGGCGAAGATTAATAATAAACTAATCCCAATACGGAGAATAATAAGAAACAGAAGAAGAGGGAGGGGCATGGGGGGGGCGACGAGGCGAAGGACAACGAGGAGAAGGCGGGGGCGGAGGAGGAGGATGGGAATGGGCAAGAGGAAGAGCAGGACAACGAGAAAGAGGAGGAGGGGGGGAAGAAGAGGGGGGGGGGACAAGTTAGGTGCGCTCGCGTCAACATCTGACATCCTACCCCTCCCTCCCACCCCTTGCCATGGTGCTGATTTTCTCTATCCGAGGACGCGTGTCGTAGCGGACCTGTGGCTCGGCGCGCGTGTGCGTAGTGGGTGGTGGTGCGCGTGCGTGCGTGCGTGTGTGCGTGGTTGTGGTTGTTGTGGTGGTAGTGGTGGTGGTGGTGTGTGTGTGTGCGCGTGTGCTGTGGTGTGACGTGGTGTGGCGTCTTGGTGGTTTGGTGGTGGGCCATGTGCGTGCGTGCGTGATGGCGGTGGTGGTGGTGGCGGTGGTGGTGGTGGTGGGTGGTGGTGGTGTGTGTTTGTGTGTGTGTGCGTGCGTGTGTATGTGTGTGTGCGTGCGTGCGTGTGTGTGTGTGTGTGTGCGTGTGTGTGTGTGCGTGTGTGTGTGTGTGTGTGTGTGTGTGCGTGCGTGCGTGCGTGCGTGCGTGCGTGTGTGTCTGTGTGTGCGCGCGTGTGATGGTGTGACGCGGTGTAGCCTGGTGGTGGTGGGTGGGGTAGTGCGGTGGTGGTGGCGGTGCGCGGTGGTGGTGCGCGCGCGTGCGTGCGTGCGTTGGCGGGTGGAAGTGGCGGCGGGCGTGCGTGCGGCGGGGCGGGGCGCGGTGCGGCGCGGCGGTGGCGGGCGGCCCGTGCTGGGGCGAGGACGCCATCCTGAACGACGGGGGCAAAACGCCGATCCGAAAATGAAGCCGACGCTGCAGCGGGAGCACGATTCGTAGCGATTCGGGGGCAGAAATGAGGCCGGCGCCTCAGCGAGACCAGCATTTTGAAGAACGAACGCAGGCGAAAACCCAACTCCGGGGAATCGTGCATAACAAAAAAAAACAGCGCGCGGGGGGGGGTCGAATACGCAAAAGACGTCGTCAGGGGAAGAGGGGGGGCAGTATTCATATGGAGTAATAGCGAAGGGAAAAAAGGGGCGGGCGCGTGGAGAAGGGGAAGGATGGGGGGGGGGAAGAGGAGGAGGAGGAGGGGGGGGCGGAAGACCAACGCTAGGCCGAGTTGCGCCGCCGCAGGGGCGGGGGCGCGGGTCTATCTTGCAGACTTAGTCGGGTCTTAGAGGGCGCCCTTCTTAGGGTGCTTCCCAACCCGAATTGCCGCTGCAGCGCGGGCCTGCTTGCAGCGGGCCCCCTAATCCTGAGGGGGTCCAAGACATTGCCCGTGCAGTCTGCAGTCTGCAGACCTGGCGCGAACCGCATTGCGCGCAAACCATGGCCCGGGGCGTCAACGAAACCCGGCGCCCCTGCGTCGCCGCGGTGGCATCGGCGGGCGCGGGCTTGTCGCCTAGGGGGTTGCCCCTGACAGCTTCGGCCTGCGCCCCCGCAGCGTCGCCCATGGCATCGGCGAGCCAAAGCGCCGCAGAGGTCGCCTGAGCCCTACGTGCAGGAGCTCGCTGGAGCTCAGCGTCGCCGGCAGCCTTCAGCCTCTATTAGGCCGCGGGCTGGCAGAAGGCTCCGAGGAACTTCCCCGCCGGTCTGCGCGCGAGCCACCCCGAGACAGCCCCTGCGCTGGGACGCATTGGGCCCCCGAAACAACATTGTGAGACGCGAGCTGGAAGCCAGGCGCAGCCCGCGCAAACAAAAAAAAGAAAAGAAGTTCCGGTCGACCTGATGCGCCATCCCTAGCGGCCATCTTGGCCGACGCCCACGCGACGCACTCGGCCTGCGACATGGGCCGTGCTAAGTGGGCCTCAAATTTCTTGACCCGAGCATTCGGTCCTCGCGAAACAGCGCGCCCAGATGTTGCCGAGTCCATGTTTCCACGGCGCCTTCCATCGGGCAACGTATTCGATGTACTGCTCGGGGCTCATGTGGGACGGGCGCCAGTCAAACCTTGGCGCGTCATCCCGGATAGGCACCAAGCTCAGCACATATCGCCAGATGTCAGCGTAGCTGGCCTGGGCGTCGGCCCGCTGGTAAGAACAGCTGGCGCCTTCCCTCTCTGGGTCCAATAGGTCTGTTACGGCCAAGGACGCAACTGGGAAGTGGCGTAATGAATGCAATGCCGCGAACCTCTCTGGCCTTCCCACCGTCGGATATAGGCCCCCACTGGGGCCCATATATAGCTCTGACAAACATGCCGTTGGCCCCGATTTGGACCGCAAGCCATTCACATCGCCGAAATTCTGGCCAACGTGGCGCCATCCCAGACCCATCCGTGTATACAGTTGTTTCCCACGAGGTCTGACACGACTCCTTATCGCCCCAGAAGAACACCTCCAGCTTGTCCGCCACGTGCGGAGGCACATGAGGGCTATATGGGCATCCCTGCAGCTGTCTCAAAATAGTCAAAGTCCCCGACCAAGACTATAGCCCGAAGGTGGGAACGTGTCCTGTCCAAGGATGGCTCCCAATCGAAGATAGGATAACCTCTTGCACCTGCACAAGAAACTGGACGCTGATCTATCTGACGCCACACTGTGGACTGCCTGGCCGTGCAGGGAGGACAAGCAGGAGGGATACGGTAGCCGGTAGCCACCCCGCGCCAAACGGCCCCTTGACCACAATGCGACTGACCAGAGGGCGTAGGGCACCAGCAAAACGTGAATTCTTCACAACCGCCAGTCCTCCTCCCACGCATTTCCTAGGAAGCCTCGTCCATAGTATCTCTCCTCCTACACATACCTCCTGGTGGTGACACAAAATGCGACTGCCCTGCCAGCGCTCGATGCCCTGGCGCACGAGCTCCACTATAGACCGTGGTGGAATGTCAAACAGATGGCCCAAATCGCTGACGAGCACAGTGCTGGACGTCATGCTACATACTATCCTGGTGAGAAGCACTAACAACACCGCAGCCGGACCATTTGGAGCCGACCATGAACTTCGCACCTGGAGTGCATCTCGGACCTGGTTCCGAACTCGCTTTATTCTCCCAAGTCCAACCCTTTGATCCTAGACGAATCCACAATAGGCTCTCGAACGGGTTCTCGTGGCCTCGAACATCGGGTCGGACATGGTGTCAGCCAGTGTAGCGAACATAAGCGTAATCGAAGAAGGCTTGCTAGCTCTGCAAGCAAGGATCGCTGCATACTGCCGGATCAGATTCAGCTATTGGTCGCTGATTCCTGCTAATGTCGCGCCGTGCGATGCAGCAGGCAAAAGACAAGACCCTGAAACATACCGAAACACTGTTGTCTGGATTCCAACGTCACGGATGAACCTGACTGTTGCGTCTTGACGGTCCAGAATCATGCCTAATGCCATTTGTGGGACTTCGACGCAGGGAATCAATGTAACTGTTGCACCCGCAAAATTCTGAATCCTGCCAAAACAACATTTTTGGTATGTTGATGATGGGAACCCGTTAAGCTCTTGAGCATTTTTGTCAACGAATCTGCGCGGCGCTAGAACGAGAGAGCCACATTTTGAAAAGAACCGCCTTCAATTCGTGTAACTCTTGCAATTTTCAACACGAAAGTGCGCCGCGCTAAAGCAAACCACACATTTTGAAACAAACGCCCTCAATCGGTGAAACTTTTGCAATTGTTAAGAAAGCGAATGTTCGCCGCGCTCAAGCGAAAACCATATTTTGAAAACCATCCGCCCTCAGCCCTCAAAGCTCTTGCAATTGTTTAAAACGAATGTGCGCCGCGCTATGACGAGAGCCACTTTTTGACAACCAGCCGCCCTCCATCTGCGAAGCTGTTGCACATGTTTTAACTTCACAGTCATCAGTGGTGAGGAAGTCTCAAGCGAAACGCCCGGCCCGCCCTGAAAACTGGCCCCTGGGTGCGACAGGGAGAAATTATGCATAACGAAGAAGAATGGAGGAGGAGGAGGAGGAGGAGGAGGAGGAGGAGGAGGAGGAGGAGGAGGAAAGGGAGGGGGAGGAGGAGGAGGAGGAGGAGGAGGAGGAGGAGGGGGAGGGGGAGAGACGGGGAGGGAAGAGGGGGAGAGACGGGGAGAGACGGGGAGGAGGAGGGGGGGACGGGGATGGGGGAGGAGGGAGGGGGAGGGATGAGCAGGAGGGGGGAAGGATGAGGAAGGGGGGAGGAGGAAGGGCTTTGGGGAGGGAGGGGAGGAGAGCCGTCGACACCTCAGCTTACGCCAGGGCATCGGGGGGCGC